TGAGGAAGGTCATAACAGCACCTGAACATCCTCTTGTGTCTATAATACCACAAGAAAGCAGTTGAGTCCTGTTTGCTCCACAGGGATGCTGGGACAATGTGAAGATCTAGCATCTGCTTGCTCCGATGTTGACCCTTGTAGTGCCAATCAGCAGAAATAACTGGTCATTGAAGAAGAGGAAAAGGCCCTTCTGACTACATCCTTGCGAGCATGTCATAAAGACCAGCACCTTGAAGGGTGCCGAAGTAAACTTTGTGAAACAAGGCCAAGTACAAGGTTGGATAGGGCTATGGGCAACTTTGTCTATTGGACGTTGTTCCTGCCCATGGCAAGGAGGTTGGAACTAGACGATCATTAAGGTTTGTTCCAACTCAAAGCATTCTGTGATTCTGTGGTAACATCAGTGCACAACGTCACCTCTTGTTGCAATGTGATTAGGGCAGTGACATACTGCCCTAATGGATATGGATAATTTCACCATAGTAGAAGAGCCTTGGAGACAGAGGATTCTGTCAGCTCCTAAAAATATCTCTAATTACCTGAGATTTTTTTAGCTCTTGCCAGAATTTACTTTCCTGTGAAGGAAAGAATGTCAGAATAGAAAAAAAAAAAAAAAAAGCTGTAGCAGATAAAGGCTGCTATTATAACAGTAGCAACACATGTACAGTAAAGTAGTAGGTTTCCCCTGCAGTGTTTTGAAACTTACTTCTGTCCCAGCCAAAAACTGAGACACATCTTGTCTGTCCAGAAAGAACTGTTCTCAGCCTAGGATATTCTGGAAGGTAAGCATGCCAAGGGTTTAGACATAGTAGAAGAGAAATCATACCTCTCAATTGCACTCTGATTTCAAGTAGATAATTGCAAGACATAGCTGGCTAAGTGAACTGCTGAAATTCAGAGTATGAGAATATTTTTTCTTCTTTTTTTTCTTCTTTTTTTCCTTCTTTTTTCCTTTCTCCCTCTCCCTCTCCTTCTCCCTCACCCTCTCCCTTTTTCCTTTTCCATTTTCCTTTTCTGTTTTGTGCTAACTAAAACAGGGGCAGTGATTGTGGTAATAGTCTTTCAGACCATACTGGAGAAATTGAATGGTATGTGTTCAGGGTGTAGCGAGCATGCAAGTTCTTCCTTGGGAGCATAAGCAAACCATGGAAGCTTAACTTTCAAGAATGCAGAAATGTTAGGGAAGAAAACTGATAAGATCTTGTATTTGATGAAAGACTCCCAAGTGACACTCTTTTTCCTAGGAATTTATACGCTTCTCTAATCTACCATAAAGTTTACCGCCATTGACCTCCATCTATTAAAAGTAATGTGCTATTTTATCACAAGCAATACAGATTGCCATTTTCAGAAGTCTCAGAGAAACAGTAGCTGATGACAATCTCTCTTGACCTTGGCAATTGTTGATACACTACTAGTACGCTGACAAAGTTGAAAATTCAGCTGAGAGTTTAATCAAGACTGGTGTATTCCTTTTTCGTCTGCTTTCAACTTATTCCTCTGGGGTGTCTCACCAATTTGACAAAGAAATGGCAGTCAACCCCCTGGCTTTCCCTGTGAGTGTTATCTTGAGTTCCTTGGGAGAAACAAGACTTTTCTTTGAAAGCTTCTTTGGACAGAAGTCCTACTTTAAGAAAGCTTTCCCAATGTGCACACTGCTGTGTTTCTGGCCTTTAAAACTTCTTGTTCCTCTGATTTTCTGGATTTGGATATTATTTTTTCTGATATATATATATATCAGAAAAAATTATATATATATATAATATATAAATAAATATATATTTATATATATATAATTTTGGTTTTCCCCTGAAGATGAGAAAACCTCAGCACTCACACTAGTTTCCACTGTATTATCAATATCAGATCTGTAGTGGAGTGAGACAGAAATCAAATTCATTCTTAAGGCAACAGACCATGTTCCCTTTAGTCTGATCTTGAAATAATTATCTTGAAAAAAGATATTGTGGAACCTCTAGACAGAGCTGTTTGATCATCCTCTGATCATGCCTTAGAGTATGGCAGAATGTGAGCATCCTTCCTGCCAAAAAGAATCTGCTGAATGTTATGATTAAACCATGTCCAGTGCCAAGTTTTACCAATATTACCCTGCAACAGGTAGCCTACTTTCTGATTTTGGAAAAACTCACTTCTTCCTGTAAGGAGTTACTACTTGCAAGTAAAGAAACATTCAGCTGATTTGATCAGTAGAGCAGTGCATAAGAAATTGCTTTTCAAGCAAAGTACGATGTTAGGAATTTGAGCTTCTCTTGTAGATTATTGTTTTAACATTAATGGAGTAGGGTATACTGCTTTTAGGGAGAGATAATCAGGTTAGAGGTTTTCATTGGCCCCACATTGTTTTAGTAGCTAGAATGAAGTAGGAAGCTTGTGATCAAAGAGTGTTATTCATCTTACTGTCATATTTATGGCATTAATGATTAAATTGTTTATAAAGCAACCGGGAAATTACACCTGTCCTTTTGTACAAAAAGTACCCTTTAAATCAAAGCACCTGAGAACAGGAAAGTCCCACTGTACATGGTGCACTGACTGGGTTACAGTAGCTTTGTTCTTGCTAAGTAGCTGTGTTCCTTCCATTTCACTTTTGGAGGGGACTGGAAAGCAATGTATTGCATCTAATTTTACCTGTAGCCCTCAGTCAGCATTTAGTTTGTGTCTTCTAACCATAGCCCAGCCCTTGAAGTCCTGTCTTCCCAGATTTGGCTAAAGAGAGTTGAGGACATGTGAAAGCCAGTACTTGAAGGGAGCTTATAAATGGAAGGGAGACTGACATTTTACATGGTCTGATAGTGAAAAGACAAGGGGGAATGGTTTTAAACTAAAAGAGGGGAGATTTAGATTAGATTTTAGGTGGAATTTCTTTTACTTACAAGGTAGTGGGGCACTGGAACATGTTACCCAGAGAAGTTGTGGATGCCTCATCCCTGGAGGGATTCAAAACCAGGTCGGTTGGGGCCCTGGGCAGCCTGATCTGGTGTCTGGCAACTGTCCCATGTCAGAGGGTTGGAATTAGATGATCTTTGAGGTTTCTTCCATCCCAAGGCATTCTATGATCCTATGATTCTATGCTTTTCTTATTTAAATCCAGGAGCAACTCCATTCAGTGCCACTTACTGGCACTGACAATGTGCTCCCTCCTTGATGGTAGAAAAGTGAGGTACAGCCCAAATTTCTACTGTCACTCCAGTGCAGAATTAAAGTACAACAAACTAAATGGGCAGTGACTGGGGAAAGTTTAAGTGAGCTCTTTTTAATGCTCAGCCAGGTAATGCCAGATGTAAACTCCTGTTCAGGTATTGGAGAAGTGGTTGCATCATCACTTCTTTCTTATCTTAACATTGGTATTCAGTACTAAATTGAAAAGATCACACTCTTTCTTTCACAATCTTAGTCCCAATCCTAAAGTCAACAGGGGAATGATTTAATCCCAAGTGCTTCTAGACATTTGAAATAAATAACAAATGAAATTAATATAAATGCTATATGTATTTTCTTTTTCTGCTAGAATAATCTTAGAGAAAACTTTCAAGCACATACTTGTTTGGAACTCTCCTTCATAGAATCATAGAATCACCAAGGTTGGAAAAGATGTCTAAGATCATCCAGTCCAACAGTCCACCTGTCACCAATATTTCCCACTAAACCAACATCTAAATGTTTCTTGAACATCTCTAGGGACTATCTTCCTTCTGGTCTTAATTGGGCAATCTATCCTGACTAATTTCTCAACTCAATTGACGATATTCAGGGTTTACTTCTTTCTTCTTTCACTTAGAAATAGGATGGTACCTCTTTAAGGAGATACTATAAATGGTCAGGATAGCAAGCTTATAATTATATTATTCTGAATTCAAAAATCTGAAACATTTATTCAATCCTGAATGCAAATCAGACAATATTAATGTAAGTTGTATGTAATCATTTAACATTTTTTCCTCTCGACTTCTGCCTCATTCATTGTAAAAATGGATAGCCTATGAGTGGGTTATATCATAACTCATTTCAGTAGTCTTAAAATGATAGTATAGGTCTCCTCTATGGTGAATGTAAGAAGGTAGGGACTACCAAATAGACATTGAATTTGTCTTTAGATAGGTCTAAGACAGGACTGGTGAGTCATCTTCATAGAAACTCTTAGATTTCTCTGCTGACTCATAAGGGTATTGAAGCAACCTGCATACATCACGTCTCATTTCCAGACAGCTGAAATTAGATGAGGTGCATCTTACCCTCAATAGACACTTCTTCCTGTAGTGTATAGTCACATATTCTGTAATGCTATTGAAATCCTTGAGATAACAGATGTTTGAAGTGTTTATTACTTTGTGAGCTTTGGTTGACAATGAAGAGAGTGAGTCTCATCTCACTAGCTATAGACCTTTACTAGCTGAGGTTTAGCATGCAGACTGTGCATCCTAAACTCTCTATGTCAATGGAAAGAAACAAGCACTGTTAGTATCTGTTTTTTTATTATGAGATGAATCTTTCCCTAGGAACACCTCTATTCAACTCTTTGCCTAACTGGATGAGAATCTGTGTTATTGCACTGTCTAGAGAGCTGAATTTTATCTAGATAAATTATATGTGAAGTGCTCTGTGATCATGGGCTTGTATCATATTTCTCTCTAAGGAAAGTAGAGATAATATTTGAATTGAACACACAGCAGTCATGGCGTGATAAAGACGAGCATTTGCTGGTTTTGGGTGCTCTCTGACACATGTAGGGACTTTTCCGTGAAACTACATGGCACTTTAAATTTTGAAAAAAAAAAAAGCTCTTATTCATTTATTTATTAAAAGTTTGTCCAAAAAAAATTGAAATTCTCTGAATTTCCCTTAAAAGAAAAATTTTGATCTCTCACGTGTTGCGATTCTGGACTATCATAACTAAAATGCAATTAAAGACAAACCCCCTGCTCTCTTTTTTAAACAGCAGCCTGATCAATATCCTGTATTTACACTTATGTTATGTTCAGGGTTTGACCTGATGGATTCGTTCAGTGTGAAACAGATCTTTGGAATGAAAGAAAATGGAATTCAAAGCTCTTATGTACGACTTGGAAGTTTCCCTGTTGTTCAGAAAACTGAGTGAGTACCTTGGTCTTTCACTTTATTTTCATCCGAGTCTCTGATTTCCATTGTTTGGTTCCTCTAGTTGAATCATGAGGCAAATATCTGGTACCTATACGCTCTTTCAGTGCTGCTGGCACAGAATTTGTGACAGATGCTTGAGATCCTCTATAGCCACATGAGGCTCTACCCTTATAGAGAATGAACTAGTTTCTGGGTATTGGGAATGGTTGTTAGGAGCAACATTAAGAAATTCACAAAAGAACTTAAAGCTTAGTAAAGTGAATCTAAAGGAAATGTTTGGTAGCTTTCCCACTGAGATAGGGGATCATAAACTCATCCAGGCTGGAAAAGATCTTCAAGATTATAAACTCAAACTATCTTAAGCTGGATTTGCAGCTTGTGCTTCTACAAAGACCTGTGTCTTCTACTTCATGGATACAGTTGGTGATGGGGGTCTTGTCTGCATGTTGGTCTAAGGTTTTTTCACTGTTGGCATCAAGAACAGAGTAGGAGATGCGAGTCATGACCTGGGACTCTGCCTCCCAGGGGTTCTCGTATCTTCTACACCCTGGGCACAGCTGGAGTTTCAGCTCCTGATCTGAATCTTCACAAGGTAGAGATCTGCCACATAATATGGAGAGGGCATCGATCTCATTGGGATCACAGAGATGAGGTAGCATACCCCACCCACCATGGCTGGATATGGGTTCTTCGGGAGGGCCAGGCTGGGACAGCGAAGAAGGGGAGTTTCACTGTGTGTGAGGGTAACAGAAATGCATGGGGCTCTGCCTTGGGATAGGGGAGGAGCCTGCTGAGAGTTTATTATCTTTGATGTAAGGCTTATTTTGAACATATTGTTTTAAGTAGGAAAAGTAAAAACAAGTTTTAAGAAAAAAATCTTAGAGGAGTTTGGTAGTATCTAGGATGAACCAAGCTGTTTGAACAAACTCTATGCATTTGGAAGAAACTCCTCCTATCAGTTGCTCATCTGTCAATGAACTATACATGTAAGGTGAAAATTAACTCCAAAGTTAAGATAATGCCAAAGTAATACAGTGTCTAGCAGTTTTGACCATAGAGAACTGCAGTTCAGGCATCCTTGAACATTATTGAACATGTCTATAGCCTATTTTTGGTTTTTATTTTTATTTTTGGTATCTGAGTCCTGTTGAGACAATGTAAAATACTCTATAAGCTCACTTGTGCCTCAGTACTTCAAATGTTAGCAAATAATTTACTTCATAATCTGAATGTCATTTATGTAGCTGTAGTGTCTCTTCTAAAAATTGTCTTCTACAAGCTACCAAAGTAACTCCCTTCATTGAAAATTCTATAACACTGGTGAGTCTCTTGGTGCAAGCGTGTATTCTGCTGAAAGCTTTAGTTCAGAATACATTAATATATTTGTTAATAGCAAGAGACCAGTTCATGGTAGATGTTTTCAGTTAGCTAATAACATTTTGGGTCTTCTAAAAGAAAAAGCAATTTTTAATCCTCTGTCACCGTCAATTCAGTCCTTAGAGCCTTTTATAATCTGAGGCTGTCAGCTTTGTCATAGGCTATCAGGATGGTTTCTCTTCAGGTTGTCATCTCAGTCCTGCTAGCAGTAGCCTTGGGAAGAGTGAGTGCCTAATTTCACCGAGTAACCACAAGACGTAGATTGAATTGAATTGTCATCATTAACATCCTTGCAATAAATTTCACTGAGCTAGTTTGAACTTAGCTTAAAAAATCAATGGGAATTATTTTCCTTTTTATGGAGAAAAGCTATTGATTTTTTTTTTTCTTTTTCCGGTCTTGGCTCTTTTACTCAGTTCATTGCATCTTCAGATTGTCCTGTGACTTGCATTTGTTTCGTTTCACAACATTTTTTCATCCTGTAGCCCACCTAGATTGATTTTCCCTTCTGTCCTTTAACTTCTCTCCTTCTTTCTCCATTTAAACATAGAGTCTTGAAAAAAATTAAAGTACAAATATACTGTATTGAAAGGCAAACTCTTTACTCTGAAGTCCTTAAATGATATCAAGTCTCAGGGTAAGTAAATTCAAATTCATCATCTGGGAGAAGGCTGGTAAACTCAGACACCTTGATCTTGACAGGGAGTATAAACATTACATGTGTGTAGAAAGGGGAATAAATCAATTTTTAGGCTCATTGAAGTTTCTGGGTAGCATCCTTTCTTGCTGTGGCTTCTAACAGCAAGTGATAGCATGTTTGCTATCACAAGAGGGAGTTATCGCCAGGACCACGCAGAAAGAAGCTCATGAAGTAGGGCAGTCCAGATTCTGATTAAGAAATTCTGGTAGTGATGATCCACTGATATGAAGCTCTGGGAAACAGAAATTATACAATCCTTGGGGGTATAAGCAGAAATGATCAAACATTTAACAGTTAACTGTCTCCAGCATGGGGAACTCCATCACTACTGTGAGGATGCTGTGTTCAGTCTTTGTGTCCACAGTTCAGTAGATAAGAATGGAGTGAATGGAATGTTAAAGAGGAAACAAGTCTAATACTGAGAAACTGAAGAAGCACAGTGTAGTAAGATAAAATTAAGATGTTAATAACTGAAGTGATCACCATCTGTAAGAACCTTTGGGGAATCAAAGTTTAGTGAAGGGTTTTAGAGCAATGGTCTACCTGTTAGCAGCACCAAAAATCAACGTGGAAGAAATACACACTCTTAATGAATGTATTTAAATTCTGGAACAAGTTACTATGGTTTATAGAGAGGTGTCCATCTGCATTCCTTTTAGAAATTAAGATTTAAAATACTTCGTTGTTTTTTGTTGTTGCTGATATTCTCCCAGAAAGACTGAAGAAGCAGAGACAGGCCAACCAACTATGATGACTTTCTGCCTGCTCAGATTTCATCCGTTTATCTGTTGATGTTCCTTCTAAAATAAGTAGAATATTTTTTGTCCAGGACAATTATAAATAAAATATCCTAAATTAGTTGATCAAAATGACAAAGATTCCTGTTAAATGGTTAACTGGAACACAGAATCAAAGAATTTCTCTGTTTTCAGCCTCTCGTATTTTAACTGTCATACACCTGTGGTTTAGGAATTAAACCAAATGGATATGTAACTGCAGAAAGCATCTGCATGTTCAGTCCATTTTACTTGTTGGACATCAGGATTCTGAGATGCTACGCATAGGGTCATTACTCACAGAAAATGAAATCTCATAAAGCTTACAGAGCTGATAACTGATAATAAGCAAAACTAAAACATCTGTCCTGTCTTCAAGATAACCTCAAGTAGTATTTAGCAACTGATAGCAACATCTCATAATTAGATACAAAATCATTAACTGAGTATTATATTTAATTCACTTTATTATCTTCTTAAAGGATCTGTATTATTTTATATAAGCCTAGTACTTCTACAAAGTGCCAGTTTAGTTGCATGTAAAATGTACTTATTTATCTTCTTGAGCCTATACCTACAAACTTTTTTCCCATTCTGTCCTCCAATTATTTCTTCTAATCCTTCCTCCTCCCCTGTATATCCCTCACTCTTCTCTTGCCTGATCTGATTCTGCTTGACCTGGCATTTATTTATGATCTGTTTGCTCTTTCCAATTTGGAAATATTATTTTCTTCTTCAGCATGCATATGTTTTTGGATGTGGGTAGGGGCATCCTGCATCCTTACTTCAACTTTGTCTTAGTTGTCTTAGGTTTCTTCATGAGCTCTTGCCTTGGTATCATCATCAGTTCTGTATCACAGAGAAGAACATTCTACCAACAGCTGCCAAAACTTCCTGCACTTAACATGAATCCTGTTGAATGTTTTTTTACTCTTCACTTATTTTCAAGCATAAATATATTATATTAAGAAAGGCTGAGAGAGATCAGATTCTTCTGTTTGTAGAAGAGAAGGCTCTGGAGCAGTTTCATCCATGTGTATATATACCTGATAGGATATGAAGCAAAGAAGATAGAGACAGAATTCTGAGTGGTATCCACTGACAGGACAAAAAGCAATGGGAACAAATTGAAAACATGAAACTTGATCTAAACACAAGAAAAACCTTCTTTAATGAAAGTGTAGTCAAACAATGTAACAAATTGGGGAGTGTCTATCCATGGAGATATTCAAAACTTACAGGATGTAGTTCTGGACAGTTGGTTCTAGCAGACCCTGCTTGAGCAGAGGGGTTGGACTTGATTTCAATAGGTCTGTTCCATGATTCTGTGATGTATGGTTCAATACTGCATCCTCTCTACTCCTCTCTACAGCCATGTTTTTCATCTTCTCTTCCAAAGACAGCTGGCAGGCTTGGTCTGTGACCTATCACAAAATTTCTTGTGATCTGGAAACCTCTACTTATTTTCTTTCTTTCTTTCTTCATCTTCCACTTCTGCCATCCTAACAACCTTAAGTTGTCTGATGTGTGTGGAAATGAAATAGCTTTCTGGAGCCTTATTTCACAGGCTCTAGGGAAATTGACTGTTAGTGATTTTTAGCTGCTGTGAAAAGGGTCGAATTTTCCGCTGTGTCTTTTTCTTATCAACTGCATGCACCCTATTAGTAACCATTACATTCAATGTCTAAAATGACAACTGATAATCTTATTTTCTCCTTTGTGTTATTTTTATAGTTGTAGGATCTCATGCTGATTGTTACAGATGCAGATTTTTATGCTAAAAAAATATATGTAAGAAGGAGACCATGTTGTGTAAGTGGGTAATGGCTAAGAGAGCCTTCTCCTTGTCCATTACCATTTTTCCTTTGTAGAAGTTGTGATTCACCTGACCTTGGAGATGAGTTAATTAACTCCTAGACTAACCTGCAGCACCTGGGGATTCTTATGTCTTAGAGTTTTATAATAAGTTATTCTGCAATCCATCTTGTTGTCAGAGTTATAGACCAAGGAACTGGCAGAGACCTCCCTTGTAGGTACCAGACATCCAGCAAAGCTCCATAATATGGATCATCAGCTCAGTTCAGCCTGAATAAAAGAAGGAAATAAAACATTTCTGAGGACAGCAGTTCCTACCTAAATTTGAGCTTCTAGATGGAGATGACTTTTTAGTGAGGAAAGAAATGAAAAGAGATGTTGATATTTATGCAGTAATGCATCTCTGTAAAAGATGCAGGGACCAAGGACTTCAGAAACAGTTTTTATCGTATCTTCAGAGCAATAAGAGTGTTTTCAGGTTTGCTTTTGGCAGGAATCCCTTCTCTGGCTTCTGCTTGCACTCAGTTCTTCAACACCTTTAAAAATCAGCTGAGGGTGACTGCGAAAAACTCATTATAGTCTTCTATCACTTTAAATCTACTCAATGGACTATTTGTCAGCCACAGGGTGATGAAGTGTGGCTGGACTTATGAGGATGTTTAGGTGCCTAACTCCTAGTTTTTCTGCGGGCATTAAGCATCTGAAAACTTTTTCTGAATCTAGCTTTCATCGTGATATTCATGTTCCTAGCTCAGAGGTATCCAGAGAGACTGAGCACAGAGGCCAGCCACCAGATTTGCTTGCAGACTGCCAGGCTCACTATGCTATCAATACAAGGGATTAAACCCAACCATATGTTTGTATAACTACTCCCTTAGCAAAGTAGTAATGCCACAGTTAGAGTCAATACAGATGAGTAAGTCAATAGGACGACCTGTGCCCAAAATGCAAATCAGGTTCCTAAAGGGCTGGGTTGGCTCACTAAATCCAGTTATGCTGGTGAAGGTAGGTGTAAGGAGTGAGTGAGGAAAGTGCATTAGACACAAATTTTGAAATAGAATTTTAGGAGTTGAGCCACAGGGAAGTCTCCCCACTAACAGCACTCTTACTTAGAAATGTTCAAGAGGATGCATTGATAAAAAATGCTTTTTCAACTATCAGCATTGCTGCCTTGTGAAGTTTCTTAAGGGGGGGAAGTAAAACAGCCCAATCTGTCAGTTGTAGTAAAAGCCAAGACATGCCTCCTCTTCTCTGACAAGCGTAGAGACAGAAAGTATACAAAGCCATTTGACAAGAAACTTGTACTAAGACAGGTCAGCAGTGAAAGAGATCTGGATGGGTGCCCTTTTGAGAAGGCTGATGTGACCAACGTGATTCCCTCCTGCCAAGAATTCCCTAGTCCTTCTTGGTGGTTCTCAGTGCCCCAGTCACACCAGTGTTATTCACCATAGCATCTCTGCCAACAGAGTGACGTCTGACTGGCTTCTTTCTTCAGCCCAAAGAGAGGAGATCTCAAGTTATTTTGCGTGCCTTCAGGGAGGTGGATGCTGGCATGTTGATGTATCAGGGAGGTATGGCTTGTGAATAGCTACTACTGAGTACTGAGACAGCCTTGTCAACTCTCCAAAGGGAAGGAGCTGGTGGTAAAAATGAGCTGGTGGTAAACAAGCTGGTGGGAGCCTGGCTCAGTTTTCTCTTGTGATGGAAAGCCTCAGACAGTTTCTATGTCCTCAGTGGGAAGACCAGCTTATAGTGGTATACAGTCTCCATGGGCTTTTTAAACAGCAAAAATTACAGTACTGGAAGAAGCCACAGTAATACTTGTTCTGAATTTTTAACTTGGCTAAAATGTAGGAAATTCAAAGCACAGATTAAAAGATGATTGAACATTGTGGCTTTCATCATTTGCTGTAATTGTAAAACACAATATTTTGGAAATTTGAGTATGAGATTTTTGCTTTCAACTTCGGTAACAGCTTCTAGTTGAGCATGCCTTCAGATTAACTGTGAAGTATTCCTTAGGAGAATCACTTTTCAGTGTTTTCCTCTTTATTAATTGCTGCTGTTGCCTTTATTTTCTAATGAGTGCTTATGCCTGTCTGCTCAGATGTCCAGAAGCAAAGATATGATATTTAGGAAGGACCTATTTAGGACTAATCAGAGGAGCAGGCTGGCTTGGGCATTACAAACAATGAAGTTAACTGGGAGTATTCAACTGGGAAAAAGAAATGGCTTAGAGGCAATATAAACAAATTTTATAGAATCATGAATGCGTTTACAAAAAAAAAAAAGAAAAAGAAAAATAATTTGTTCATTATGTTGCCCCTTGCAAGAACTAAGCCCTAAATGAACAAAAAGAGGTTTATTATACAGTAGTAGCAGAGTAGTGTGATTACTAGCCAATGGATATTGTGAAGTTTACTAGGCTTCAAGGGGAGACTGGAAAAGACCATACATAGGAGGTTATAAGAATAGTAATTGTAGATGTCTCTGAAATTGACCCCTGAATCACATAGAGTTGAAGGGAGGGAGAACACACTTGTTCTGTTTGTTCTCATTTGTAGATGTCCATTTACAGCTAATGACAAAAAATGGTGATAATGGGTAAATTATGCCTTCTGTCTAGTCCTGTCCTCTCACTTATGGTATGTTCTTATGTTGGGGCTGAGTCAAACACTTCTGCTTTTTGTAAATTCAGATTTATGCATGGATGATGGAGTCAAAATGAATAAATTGCTGCCTAAAATGATTATAAGGCTTTATTCAAGAAGGTACTGTTCTCCCAGGCCACCAGCTAAGGAAAATCTGGGGCAGACATGAGGTGTTGTGCCTGTTTTGGGGAAATATTACAATATTTGTTGCTGTAACTTGGTACATTTATAGAGGATTTCAGATGTGCCTGCCCACTGCTGGATGTCTCAGATCTCCTATGCACCTGAAGAAGAATATGACTGAATATGTGAGCTAAAGCATCAGGTGCAACTCAGCTGCTTTGACCTGGTGGATCCCATTGTGAAGTTTTCACTGCTCTTTATTTAAGTTGAGAGCTTCTGTGTTGGAATAGAGAAGGGCTCCTCAAGGACAGAACCACATGGAGGGAACAAGCTCATGTTCATTGCTTTTCAGGCTGCCAAATACAGCAGATTTTGTAGGAGCTACGTGATATTTTTGGGAAGCATTGCTGGGATAAGCAGAGTTTTAGAAATTGTGCTCTACGTTGCTATGCCTGATACATTTCTGTCTTTTTCCCTCCCCATGCCAGGGATGTATTCCCACAAGGTCTGCCTGATGAATATGCCTTTGTAACTACCTTCAAGTTCCGAAAGGCTTCCAGAAAAGAAGACTGGTATATTTGGCAGATTATTGACAAGTATGGCATACCACAGGTATGAGGCCCTTTGCTGCCAGAAAGAGCAGCCTTGTTTCCTTCTGACTGCATGAATCAGCCTTCTTGCCTTAACCTCCCACTCCTTAATTTTCTGTTTTTCTTGCTGAAAAATCTTTACTTTTAATTTGAACCCTGGAGGAAGTATTGCACAGACCTTGATTGTTATTAGCATGCAAGTATATGTGTTAGTTGGAAAGAGTAGGGGAAATACAGCTCTTGAAACTGCTTTTGGGTATGTGTACAGACTGGGAGAAGAACAGCTCTGTGGAGAAGGATGTGGAGGTAAATGAAAAGCTGGATGTTTGCTTCTTTAGGAAAGGATAGCCACACAGATATACAGCAGAACAAGAGCGCAGTGTGCTATAACAGGTTTGAGTACGTACATTCTAGATATCATCTGAAGGCATTATGGACTCTTTACTTAGGAAATGGATGTAAAACTGTGCTTTGAGTCTTGGCTGCTGTAGAATTTGATCCAGTAGTATTTGGCAGGTACTCTCAGGGACTTAGAAGAAAACTACTGTAACAGTGGAATAAAGGTTCACATGATCCTATGTAGCATTCTTAACAGCATGATGTAGTGTAGAGGTTCAGTTGTGCTTTGGAAGGAGGTGGTTTGGTCGAGTTGTTTGTTTTTCAAGTTCATATGTTTTGCTAGAGATGGCTGAAACTTGAACTGCTTGGATGTGGAGGGAAAAAGAACTCTAGATTCTCAGTGATGTTTTCAAAAGTTCCTGAAACTGTAGTGCTAGAATTGTCCTAGAGCTTCAAGAGCCTTGTTTCATGTGTCCAGTAGTGTTTGGGCCACTTTAAGTCTGCTGACCTGCTTAGCTTATGGACTACAGGCACTTCTGAGCTAGCTCTCATCTGAGGGGGCATTTCCAGCCAGCATGGTGCTTGCTGCATGCATATTTTGGGTGAAGTCGGGAGGTAGCCTATGTGACTTCCATCAGATACAGTTTAGTGCCAATGTTGCCAAAATGCTTCCAGCTCTGCAACTCGTTAGTGCACCGCTGCTTCCCCAGGCTCTGTGCTCTGCTCAATTCCCCACTACTGCTACTAAGTGCTTAACTTTGTAAAAGAGAAAATCAATTTGTAAATGAACTAAAGGTATCGTGTCTCAGAAGCCTATTTTTGCCCACTCCATAAGTTGCAACATGGAGTACGGGTAGAATAGGTTGTGGAGGGAGAAAGGCGGAGATAAAAGAAAGATGGAGAGAAGCAGTGGTGAGATATTTATTCTGCAGTGTTTTAAATGGAGTGGCATTATTTAGTACAATATGAAATGGGACTTTTGTTTTCATTCATTGAAAGTGCTTTGCCCAAGAGGGGTCACTTAGGACTTTGTTTCTTGTGTGCTATACTTCTTTGATTTACACTGTAAAGAAGGCTATTGAGGCCATCTGTCTTTTATCCCTTCTAGGTTTCCTGCATCCCTAAGCATTGTCTCTTCCACTTCTAATTAACTGAATTAGACCAGGAACCAGTCTCCAACACTGTCTTTAAATTGCACGGTTTGGCTGTATCCACACTGTGCAAAACCTGGTCCTAGGTCTCCTCCGAGCCTAAGGCATAATCATCATTGTTTGTTTTGGTTTTCATTTGAAAGTGTTTGAAATAACATGTAGGCAGTACAGCTCAGCAGGCTGTTTTCTTATCAGGAAATGAGGGATTTGTCCATGGCCAATGGGATGGTTGAAAGCATGTGATGGTGTCTGAATAGCAGAGTCTATTCTGATGGGAAGTAGTGGAGAATTGTACAGGATCCAGAACAGGCTCAGCTTTGTCTGTAAAACTTTAGAGAGACATTCTGGACATGTGCTACTACTCAGGCATGCCCAAACATTGCCTGGGAGGTATCACAGTGGTATGGGATGAAAACATGCCAAGGAATCTGCTCACGAGTGAAGGCTATAGATGATCATAGGGTTGTGCTCAAACCTGTCTCCTGCCCAGTCTTGTTTTTTAGAACAGGTTTTAGAACCCATCCAGTTTAATGTCATACCCAAATAATGTTCTCTGCTCCTTTCTTGGGCTTCTAACCTCATCCTGTATCATCTCTGGCTTTGGAGTGTTAGTTGGCAAGTAAAAAGTAAGAAGGAGGAGACTGTGTGTCTTATTAGCAATAGTACTTACATTACTTTTGTTTGTTTTCAGGTCTCAATCCGACTGGATGGAGAGAACAAAGCTGTGGAGTACAACGCTGTGGGGCTTACCAAGGATGCTGTGAGAGTGGTCTTTCGAAGTGCACGAGTCAGTGATCTTTTTGATCGCAGCTGGCACAAAATTGCCCTCAGCATTCAGTCAACAGCTGTCTCGCTGTACATAGACTGCAAGCTTGTGCAGATGCTGCCTATTGAAGATAGGGAAAATATCGACATTCAAGGAAAGACTGTGATTGGCAAACGCTTGTATGATAGTGTCCCCATTGATGTAAGTATTGAGAGTGCTGATTAGAACTAGTGTAGCGTTCAGCACTGAGCATTCAGCATGTGTCTGTGTTTTGGGGTGCTTATATTATAATTGTCTCTTTTCTTGAAGCAGCATTGCTAAAATGTGACCTGTGTTATGTAGATAAAACAGGTAGGCATCTCGTTGTGTACAAGACTTGCTGCCTGCTTATGTGAGACTGCCATTATCTCTGTAAAAGGGATTAAAAATGAGAAACCCATTTCATATTTCTGACCAGTCTCAGAAAGCAATATACTTAAGATCAGAGACAAAATCATCCACAAATGCTATCAAAATGAATACTGAGCTGCCCATACGAGGGTGTTTTTTTGTCCAGTCTGGCATTATGAAAATTTCCACCTGTGACAGCAATAGAGGGGTGAAAAAAGGAAGCCTGTTAACTCAGTTGAGTCACAATATAGTCTCAGTTTCTTGGAAAATAAACCTGATATTAATGTCTCTTTCTCCAATTGAACTTGAGACCTGCACATTGGATCTGACTGCTGGGTAGCTGTGTTAACCTGGTGTAACTTAAACATGATTGTTTGGTGGTTTGAGACTTAGGTAATCTTTCTAAGCTGCACAAGAAGGATGGAATGTGCTTATTAAATGTGCTAATAACTTTCTCATGCTGGGGTAAATGGTCAGAAGGCACAAGGTGCAACAGGAGAAGAACAAAACTTATGTCTAGATAACATTCTAGGAAGTAGGTGGGCAGAATATGTTTTTTCAGACAAGAATATGTTTTCTTCAGACAAAGAAATTAGCAGACCTTCTTATTTGTATTAAAAACTGCTTAAAGTTTTAATAGGCATATCAAGCTCATTAACACAGCACTCTTGGAGAATGCTGAGATACTGGTCCATTATTGATGGAGGGAGATTGGCTAAAGAGCCACAGAATCATTATGAATTTAGCTCTATCTGGATTTTATTTGTATTCCTCTGCATTGTACATATCCAAACAAAAGGACATGCATTCTTTAATAATTCAATGTCTCTGAGACTTGCCTCACTTTGCCTTCCAGTTTGATCTTCAGAGGATGGTTATTTACTGTGATTCTCGGCATGCTGAGCTGGAGACCTGCTGTGACATTCCTTCAGGACCAGTAAGCTTCTTTTTTGTCATTAATTTATTTTCATATGAACACTCTTTGTTGAAATCTATTACACAAACCAGGAGATATATGACAGTGTGGTATTATCATTTTTATAAGGATGGTGAATCAGACCTAGCTATATAACTGGTAATTTAGCAGTGCCTGAAGAGAACCACCGTAAAGAGATGAGTATGAGGAGTTTGAAGTTTCCAAGTCACTTTTGCCCTGTCAAGCTGTCATGGCAAACAAAAGTCTGAAGTGATGATGGAACAAAAGAATTTCAGCATGAAATATTCAGCATGAATCCCACTGGTTTTATTTGGGAAAAGCTAACACAGTGCCAATAGCTGCTTAGTTTCCTGTGCCCAGCTCTCAGTAGACACTTCCACTCTCCCTCTTCTCCCCTCGATCTTGGCTAAAGAGTCTCATTGTTCATTTTGCCACATTTTCCTCTATTGTTTGAATGAATTGCTTCTATGAGATTTAATTCCTAACATACTTAACCATGCATTATCCAGTAATGCCTATCCAGTTTCTCTAAAGTGGGTGGAAGAGAAAGCTTTCTATCATCAAGGCTTCATCATGACTTTGGGTGTTTGGATGTAGTGCCAGGTCACAGTCCTGACAGAAGCACCTCCCGTGGAAGTGAGGCCTACTGTTGGCAGTGAGCAAGTTGCTCACCTCAAGACTTTCAATTGTTCCTGTCCTGCTGGACAAAAGGTGAGTGCTGAGCACGTTTTCTTTTTGGTGTGTTATATGGGTTTGGAAATAGAGGCGTAACACCATGCAAGTGAGTTCTAAGAAGGACTGCATTTATTTGTGAGGTGCTTTTAGATCTAGTGGTGGTAAGTATTTAATAGAAAGATCTAGACGTGTTATTCACAGATGAGATCTCTGTAGAGGTGATGGCAATCTTTCCAGATGTTTTCTCTTAATCTAACAAAGTGAGTTTTGACTACGCTGATGGTCTTGACAATAGCTTTGAAAATAAATGGATTATTTTTATCTACTTCAGATGTGTGTATCCTTCTTCAAATGAGTGGTAAATGAAGGTAAATATAGCCATGCTGAAAAAAATCTCATACCTTTTAATGATCAAGTGGTTGCTTCTATTGGTTGTGACTGGAACCTTTGAGCAGCCAGCTTCACAGTCATTTCTCTAGAAGACATATCATTTTCAGTCTGCTATCCCCTAAAACAAGAACATTCTTTTGTAGTCCTCAGTGACTGTGGGACTGAACCTCTCACTGCATTATACAATGAAGTCTGACTGATCATGTATTTTCTTTAGGGGGAGAGAGGCTCAATTGGCCCTGAAGGTCCTAAAGGTCAAAAGGTCAGTAGGATGTTCTTATTCATCTGTTTAATAAAAACAACTGCAAAAAGTGTCAGAATATGCTGAGGAGTTGAATATTTTGAGAAATAAGAATTAATTTAGTATATCACTTAGTTTAGATGCATTTCAATGATGCTTGGAGTGCTGGGGATTCTGCCTGACTTGTATCTTTTCTCTAGGTTTTTGCATTTGAGTCTCTGTTTCTACTCTATGTTACTTTAGAATAAATGTATTCAAAAAGCTTTTCCTGTTGCTTCTAAACTGACATTGTTGCAAACCACTGTAATTGACTGTGACATGCACAAGTTTCATGATGACTCACCTGGAAACCCTTCTGTGCTGAGCCTAGCTCAGCACCAATAGAGAGCAGTAGGTTAGGCAGGAGCCTCCCAATCACTCTAAAAATCACTTGAGACTGGGGTAATGAACTACCCACGGTATGTTATTATCAAGTGTGTTTGAGTCATGAGCTTTTATTAAATACACACCACTCTCCTTACTATGCTTCTTTCTACATGATAGGGTAGGAGAATGGTTGTGATTGGCTGCTTTAAATTTCACAGTGCACAGTTCACTCCATATTATCCCGCATATTCTGCAGCCTTCTTTGATGTGTGTATGTATACCTTCAACACAGACATTCCCCTTCTTGCTTGGCTCCAGTTAGAGATGTGAAACAGCAGACTGAGAGGGGAGCAGTTGTAGTGGAAGAAAACAGAGATTCGCATTGCTTTGGAGATGAAAGTTGGTCATGGTGGTGATTCCTATTTTCACCATCTGTGTGATTAAAAAGCCTTTGGGTTACAATCTGTATTCAAAACTGTGTCCATCTGAATTACTTTTGAAAATTCAATCCCTCTGAAACTGGTGAAAAAACTAACTGCAACCCAGGAAAAGGTATTCAGCTATCCTGAAACAACTCCCAGTTGGAGTGAAGAGGAAAAATCTGAGGGTTTTGGAAGGCCAGATATCCTCAGCACTGTTTTTTGTTGGTTTCTTTCTGTTAGTTGTTTTATGGGTGAGCTTGTCTTCTCTCTGCAGAGAGAAGCTTTGAATAATGAGAATAATTGTTTTGGGGTGTGTTTCTGATGACAATAAAGAACATAGTTGCATTAATGCTCTGATGTGCACACCTGAAACTGCAGAAATTATTTCCTTATGTGAATATAAATAGTAACTTTCTATTTTAATATGTGACAGCTTAAATAATGAGGGTCTGTTTTGAAGAATGGCAGTCAGTATTGTCATGAGGAGGCTGCAGAAGGTCGATTATGATTATGATAAAACCACCCTGCAGCAACATCCTGTTGTCTTTCTCTGCTTTGAAAAGGTCTTTGCACTGGTGAGGATGTCGGTACTGCATAAAACAGCACTGTGTGGGAGATATTAGGTGATTACCTGACGGGCATGTCCAAGCACTGCATCAGAAGGCTTTCATTAACAGATCCGCTAAGTGGGTGTCCCACTCCCCCAAAGTGGGTGACTCAGTGGCTCTGCAGCTATGTGTCATTTCTCCTTCAGTTTAGTGGTCCATGACTTGCATACTACCAAGGCAGGACTGTGTGACAAGCTCTGAGAACTGGGGATGAGAATGTAACTGATGGTTGAATACAGACAATTTAGCTTCTTTATCTGCTAGCAAAGCACAGATTTGGTTCATCCCCAGGACATGCCTTTAGTCTCTGGGGATGGTTGCCAGCTCTCAGCATTGATGGATCACGGCTGCCAGCTCTATGGCTAGTATGGCTCACTTTCCTTCAATGGTTGAATTCATATTTAGACATGAAAAACTCTTCTAAAGTAGGTAAAAGACAACCTTCTAGAGGGTAGTTGAAGGGAATGGCTCAAGTAGTATGACAGAGAATAAGACAGAACTGTCTGTTCAGGATAAACTGATAAATAGATGTGGCACCTAGAGACATGGTTTAGTGGTGGTGGATTGATGGTTGGAATTGATGAACTTAGAGGTCTTTTCCAACCTTAATAATTCTACAATTCTACGATTCTATGATTCCTTACCAGCAAAAATTAAATTATTAATGTTATCAATAGCAGTTCTTGCAGAGATCAGCTAAAGACTACAGCTTGTCACAGTCTGTGCTCTATGTGCAGGAACTAATGCCTCTCTCTTCCTCACTGTGTTACTGAGGTACCCAGACTAAAATGCTGACAAGTGGTAGAAAGTGGATGCTATCTGCAGCAACCCAGTATTAACATGTTGTATACCAGGTTACATAGAAATCAATGGCTTCTGTATTATGGCTTTGAAATGTCCATAATATGTTTTAGGATCATTCAGCTTGTCTCCTCATTTCTGAGATGAGTTATGTTTGAAAGCTGTGTTGCTCTTGTGTGACATAAATGAAAGAGCTGTGTCTTCAAGAAAGACTAAGTAAATTAAATAAATAAAGATCAAACCTAAGAATATAGTTGTTTAAAATGTGCTGTCAAGCAAGTACAGCATGAGAAAAGATTAAGCAGTAATTACTTAAATGTCTCTATTTAAAGTAAACTAATTAAGAAGGAAAGGAGTTATCAGAAGAAGGTGGAAACAGTGATGTCAGGGCTCTGAGTCAGAAGTCACGATTTTCTATAGAGACATTATTAGTATGGAGCATCTCTAATTAGGAGTGATTTGCATGGCTGAAATCCAATCCTAAATGACTTGAACTCAAGGAGTTTTTAGGGGGACTGTAGACGCTTGGGCATTATCAAACAACAATTTAAAGACCAGTACTGAGAAATACCCAAGAAGGGACTCTGTGGCCATATAAGAACCCAGGAAAGAAGCTGATTCATCATTCAGTTTATGGGAGTAACCTGAGAAGTTAGTCCCACCAGGGAGTACTTTTAGGTCAGTGTTCAAAAGCAAAGCAACCTGCTTGTCCCAAAATGGGGATCTGTGGAGAGGCTGATAATGGTAAGAAAGGGAAGGCAACTGTAAAACTTTTCCTAGGCTAAGACAGATTTCTTAGTTGTTGCTTTGGTTTGGGTTTTGGTGTTGGTTTTTGTCATTGTTGTTGGTTGCTTGTTTTTTAACTAGACCAGCAATAGCTGCTGGCTTATTCAGTCCCTGTTTGAAGAAAGAGTAATGGCTACTTGTTTCTTTGTGTTTTTTTTGGTGAGCTTTTTTTTTTTTTTTTTTTTTTAGGAGGGGGAAGTAAAATCTCTTTAGCCAGCTTTTTGTATGTTTCCTTTCTTTCGTTTCCATTTGAGGAGGCAGTGAGTGTGCTTGTGTGTGTTGTACCTTTCTGCCAGCAGATCTTGAAAATCTGGTGTGAGTCAAAGCAACGCTTTTTTGAAAAAATTGGAAGTATAAAAATAACTCTAAAATCTTAACAATATTCACAGGTTTATTTTTTTCCACATCTTAGGTGTGCACCTTCTTGGTCTTACGAAAACCAACTTTCTAAGTCCTTCCTGGCTTACCAGAAAATAATGACTTTTGAAGTACCTCTGTGCCTTGCCAGTGCACCTGGAATACTTCTAGCAATGTTTTCGTATGAAAAAAAAAAAAAAAAAAGAAAAAGTATGTAATTCATGCAAGTCATTATAAATGCAATGAAGTCCACCCCATCCTTCTGGACTTCTTGGCAGGAGTGAAATCTTGTCACTGGAGAGAGGTGGAAACAGAAGTGTCTACAATCTCAGCCAAATTTTCATTGCACTGCCTTCCAAAAAAAACCCCAAAGCAAACAAGCTACCCACGAAATGCAAGCACCAATGTGGTGCAACTTACAAGTGAGGCCAGCAGGGAGGTGTAAGAGGACATCTCATCTGTTATTCCTGTGCCTGTCAGGAAGGAGGTGAATTATCTCTGTGTTACCAATGACCTTTCTTCTTTTCCAAGGGAGAAAGTGGCAGCCAAGGGCTTCCTGGACCCAGAGGAGAAAAAGGAGAGTCAGTAAGTACAAGAACAATTTCAAGAAAGGGAAATAGAATGCAAGTAGTTGTTCTCTCCTCTACTGTGAACTTTTGCTGGTGATGCTGATGTACTCTGAATGTTTTTCTTGCTGGGCCTTTGTATCAGGGAGAAGCTGGTATTTCTAGCATTTGTTGGTATATCTGAGGGAAGTGAATTGAATCATCCCTGACTTCAGTTGATAACTAACTTAGCATTAGCTTTTAAATCAGTATTTGACTTGGATGTACTTGGTTTTAGCACAGCTGCACATCCAGCAGGGGACAATAAGAGGCAATTGCACTCAGAAGATGGAAATCACTCCTAAAAACATACGTCCAGCTGACCAAGATCCAGCTTCCTGCAGCTTCAGTTAATACAAATGCCAGGCTAAGTTTCTACAAAAGAAAATCTTTATCCCTAAGTAAAACTCATTCTATTAATGCTTGTTGCCATTTTTGATTTTGGTAACATAGTTTTAGACTCCAATATAACTATCAAAGAAGATGTCTTTCTGGTGCTGAAGGAGAATTGGTGATGAGTTTTCTGTTTTAATTTGTTCTTGAATTATTATCAAGGAATTTTGTCAAAAATGTCTTTCCCCATGTTTTCTGTCCTATGAATATGTGTGTATGTATATATTTGTGGTATGTAGATATCAAAGAAGGGATGAAGTACATATTTATTGCACAGTTTGACATCCTTGCTAGCAAATGTACTTTCTTCTCTTTTTGTATTTCTAGGGCAGAGCCTATGGCAGAGGAGAAAAAGGAGAAAAGGTATTGTAGTATATAAACCTTCGTTGGACTAGTTAAATGAGAGATGCTAGCTGTTGCTTTACCTTAGCTCAGAAAGTATATTTGAAGTGCACAAGATGCAGTAAATGTGATACATTTGGATCTTTATGGGAAAGTTTTTTACTGGGTTAAACTTCCCTCTAAAGAAAATCTTTCAATTGTTCACTGCTTTTCCCCTTCATGTTCTTTGACTTTCCTTTGTGCACTGGAAATGTAAAACTATTAAATTGAAATCATAATCTTTGCTTTATGTAAGCAGCTGTGAGTTCATGGAAGATAACGCTGTAAAGCAACTGGCTGGAAGGATGGAAAGTAAACAGAATGTATAAGTTCAAGTTTATTGAATTTTCAATGGGATTAAATTTGGGTCGTGATGATACTGCTGTAACTCTTTTGCTCCATTGGATCTTTTTCATTAGTAACCTGTAGGATGAAAGCCAGAGTATTTTCCTACTGCAAATATGAGCTGAGACAGAGAAATAAGACTTCGAGGTTTCAAATTACAGACACAGAGAAAAACCACTGCAAATTGCTGGGTCACCTGTCTTGAAAAATGTGTTCAGTTGCAATTAACAATGAGGAAAAAAACACAACTGGACTAAACTACCTTTAAAAGGATCTGAGTTTCCAGACGATTTTAGCCCATTCCCCTTTTCCCTCAACAAAATGAGACTGCAGAGGACAAGTTTCTGTGTGCAGTTCCATATTACACCTAGATATGGATGTTTTCTTTATCACTAAAATGGAATTTTATGTTGTGGAATGGGAAAACATCGACAGGAGGGTATAGGAGACAAATGGATAAAATAAGGAAGAAGTCATGCTTCCTGCTGAAAATGGGATTGAGTCAATAGAGCTGGTTTCCACGAGTTCCATAGTTAACTAATTGCTCAGGGAATTTAAAATAATATTGGTTTGTGGTCTGAAAGGGAGAATGGTGCAGTAGCATGAACATGGCATTTATGACCATTGCATCTTCTCATTTGTTCTTTCTGTGACTGATTTATTGATTGTTAATAGTGGCAATGCGTCATGTGAAATTACAAACTAAATGAGGGTTGTTCATGGCAGGAAATATTATTGAGCTGGGCTAGAGACATGGGGGTTGTAAAGCACACATTTCAGCATCCATCTTCCTGTAGTCCTCCCACTGACAGCCAGTATTTAGCCTCTGAGACTCGGAACTCAGCCTTTGGAAACCAGCTTGTGCTTGGCAGGTAGTGAGAATCAGCAGTCTGATGGGAAACATGATGTTTGCAATGCAAGTTGTGCTGCAGTTGAGGCAAGTTCTTGTTTTCTTATGTTCTGATCTCTGCAAAAAGTGGTAGAAAACGTTACTTCATCTCTATTAGTCCCATACCTGAAAAAAAAAGGTCTGCACGTCTGGAGGGCAGGAGGTAAAAATAAGAAGGTCCAATAGACGTGATGTCCTTATACAGAACTATTCTGATTGGGATAGCCAAACAAAATAGACTGCCCTGAATGACGATGTGGGCACAGAGATCCATGAGTTAATGGCCAGTTTTTGTTTATTTGGTACTCCTGCCAGCTCAAGCAGTGTGTGCTCAGCTGTGGTAGCCAATATGTATGTGCCCCATGCATGTGTGCCCAATGGTTTAGAGTCACTGCTGTTGCTGTTGGAGTGCCCAGGTCTATCTACTGTGACTCACTGGCTTGAATAAAAAGAAGATCACAGAGTGAGGGACATAGTTAGTGGGCATGGTGGTTATAGAGTGATGGTTGGACTAGATGAGCTTAGTGGTCTTTTCCAACCTTAATGATTCTGTGATTCTATATGAATATAATTGTTCTTGAATGTAAAAGATTGTCTTCAAGGTCAGCCTTCAGGTGTGAAGTTGAACCTCTAGGAGAAAGCAGTTAGGATTTTATGCTGGCTGGGGGGAATCACCCATGCAAAAGGATTCCATTCAGTGGATATAGACCATGACTCTTTCTTTGTGCCAGAAGAAGTCTCCATGAGAGGGAGGTAACAAGAATTGTGGAGAGATGGGATCCAAGTGTCTGCGGTGCTAATTGACATCCATACTTGTGAAAAAAGGAGGAGGGCAGTGTAGGAAATGAGACCCTTTCCAGACAGAAGAATGTGACACCTGAAAGGAAAGGGTTCATGTGGCTCTTTTTCATTTTCCTGCTGTGCTGTAATGGATGCATGAGCATGAATTCTTGTTTTTCACTGGCTGTGACAGATTTGTTTCCTTGATTTTTTTGTGCGTATGGGCCAGTGCTGGGAAAACAGATTAGACACTGGACTTCAAACAGTTGCAGTCTAAGCAATCTTTGCTATTCACGTCCTTTGTAAGGACAAGGCTATAATCCTAAGTGATGATAGATGAAGGTTCTCACCTTTGAGAGGATTGAGATGAGGATTTTGAAATCATCCCCTTAGAGTATTGCTCTCTACTGTGCCAAAGTCAAACACCTGCCAGACTGTGCTTTTGCCAAGTATTATGTGTAGGGCAAGTATGTGGAGTCTGAGGTGTTTGTTAGAGGGCAAATCCTGAGCTTTTCCAGGACAACTGCAGAGATATTGGCCTTGCTTCTCCAGACTATTTCCCTAGTTACAGCACTAAGTTCAAGCCAGAATGATGCTTGTATTAGAACATATGACAGGCCAACCACATCATTAGTGGTAAACCATAAGATAATAGAAGCTGTGTTTAAAAACCTAATTCATATTGACATGAGGCCTAGTATGACTTTGAAAACCAAGAAATTTGCTGTGATGTCTCAAGTGACAGCCTAGCATGTTCTGCCAGGCCTAAATAACTCTGCTTGATAGGGGATGATGAAAGAATTGCACACAGATATAAAAACAGACAGTAACATAATGAACCTCCTGGTGATAATGCATGCTCTTGGGCGAGCTTTCCTATTCAAGTGTGATTGTGTTGCTCCTGCTCTGTGTTGGACCTTAAATTTCTGCTGTTCACCATCATCTTTCAGCCCTTGAAGTGTTTAGATTACATGTAGTCTGTTGTGTTTCTGCTCATGAATTCATGCTGTGTCTTCATTGACTTGCTTTAAACAAGCTTCCCTGACCAATAATTCTAATTCTGATAGTTCTAATTTTCACACGGAGAAATACCCAAATCTATAACATGATCTCTATAACATGGGTCACTATGAAGGTAACATTTTGCCTTTATTTCATAGGAGTTATTCAAATAGATATTTGTTAGATCAGATAGCCAGGTCTTGCAGAGCTCTCGTCCAAAAGGAATAGGTGCAGGAGAAGAGTGAGGACAGAAAGAACAACTGTAGAGCATTTTTAAGGATAATTCAAGCAAGACGGAGTTTCAGTGACTCTTGATCAAAGTCAGGTAAATCGCATTTGACAACGGAGGTTCTGTCCAGTATGAGACTTGCATTCCTGGGGCACAGCCATCCACATCGCAAGAGATTTTGTCCTTTTAATACCTCTGTAACAAGTTTAGCTTAGAGGCTAGCAACTTACATTTTGTCTTACACAGCACAGAATATTGTCCAGCAGTGCTAAGCCCCTTTCTTATATCCCCAAAGCCAAATGTGCTGAGGAGGGTCCATAGGTGAGAAGGTGCGTGGGGAAGTGGTAAGTTTGTAGGGTAGATGGTGAAAATAAGCCACTTTGAGTGGTATGGGCACTTCACTAGGAAATATTTTTTTCATTTCTGTTGGTAATGCTAAGGGAAAACAAACTTACCATCATCCAGTTCAAAAGGAGCCAAATGAAGTTGTTTTTAATGCAGTATGCACTGGAGCTATTCTTTGCAGTCTGCTCTGGAGGATAAAATTTGTCTGTTTAAAAAAAGAATGCTTACAAATTCATTGAAGAAAGACATCTGCCAAGATCTATTCTATACAAAGTCATTGTCTCTGCTTCAGGATGTCTGCAAGTTATTTTTAATTGTGATCTGCAATAGCAGGATGGTAAGCTGGTGAAGTATCCAGTGAGGCCACTGCTGCAGATGAGATATGGGTTATCTATTCTTATGGTTTTGTGTTCAACTCTTGATGAATATCTCTAACAGCATCATTGCCCAGGAGGGGACAGATTTTTCCACAGTCCACTGAAGGCTTGTCTAACACTGTCTTTAGCTATTGAATAAGAGTGTCTGGCTCCTGGTGTGCAGAGGAAAGGTATAGAGCAGATGGTTATTAATACATTTTCCCGAAGGAAAAGCAAAGAAGAGAAAAAAAGGGGTTTTAATGGAAGAATTGAATCAGGTGATTGCTCTTGTGAGTTTTAATTATTTTTTTCCACAGGAAGCCACTCTAGCACTTTGTAGAGGAGAAAAATAACCAGGAGAACCCATCTTCATCTGTGGAGATTTGGATGGAGGGTTGATTATGGATTACTGTGCCCTACGGGAGTTCTATTGATAATATATTTCCAGGAGTATCTGAGTTTTCCCTTTGTGCTTTATCTATTCTCCTTCATGCTAAATAATCACACATTCAGCAATGAGAAACAACTTTAGAAATTAAGTCTATATTCTTCTAACAATGTTGTTTTCATTTTTTTTTTTTTTTAATGGTAATGACTTGCCCTGATAAAAATTCATGGCAAGGATTATAGGATTTCTAATGAGTATAATACCTCTGAAGTGGCTTGCTTATTAGAGATATAGTTACTGCAGGAAGCATAGAAAAGCAGGCAGATAGCTAAGGCTCTGGACTATGCTGCAGGAGACCTAGGCAGAAAACTTGACTCCTATAGATTTCCTGACTTTGCCCAAGAAGTCTTTGTTCCTGTAATATGAAGCTGGAGAACTACTTTCTCTCCAGACTTTGAATATCTTTGCTTCTCCCTCTCTGACATGTCGTCCAAACTGGATAATTTCCCATTTTTAGAGATTCTGGAAAAACTTTAGGAAAAGCTAATGTAGGAAGGGTGTCACCTGAAATCCATGTCACTTCTTTAGCTCAGCACTGTGCCATCAGCATGGCCTAACGAATTATCATGAATGGATGCTGGTGCTTTC